TGTGTGGTAAACTGCTTGCTCAATTTGACTACCGACTGCCTTCAAGTGGAATCGAACCCGGAACTTCTAGAGTTCAAAGCGACCTCTTGGACACTGAAAAAAACATGCAACATTGGACTGAACGGTGGTAGATGAAAGTCAGCATTTTTACTCGAAAAGACTATTTAATATACCGTAGTCTGAATCAAGGGGCTACTGAACTACGAAATACAAAAATAACAATTTGCTGCATGAAACTTACCGCAAAGCTCAGACACTGGGTCCTTCACACGATCCAGTCCTTTAGGAGTCAACAGCTCAGTTATCATTGCGAGCCGAGGAAAAAATTCTCCTACATTTTTCTTTGGGACCGATACTTTGAAGGTGCCTGAAAAAGGAAGTAAAAACGCACGCTGGAGAAATAATATAGCATAAGTTTAATGCTAATTTATTTGCTAATTTAATTTATAAGTTTGTTAACTGATACTTGATCAGACGCGCTCAATTCTGTACCCAAACATCCTGTCCAATCGCAACCACCTAGCAACGTTTACTTTTACTGCTAACCTAACATACATTAACCTAATGTTTTTAAGAATGGCAAACAATGATATGACGGGTAGAATACGGTAGCTCGCATCTGACAAATCAATAAATGAATATTCATCATGCTCAGATGTTGGATCAGAAATCTTAGAAACATCTGTTCATATTATTTTTAAGTGTCGTTAGTTCCAATTAAACATATACGTCAGGTGTATGATTCCGTGTTCTAATACGAATTTGACGCAAAAGAAGCGGGAAGAAGTGACAAAAATTTCAAGGTTTTGATCTCTAGAAAAATAATTAGTTAGGATTTATGACAATATCCTCAATAGATGTAATTCGCAAGACGCTGCTTCCGCTTCTTTGAAAAAGCTTCTGCATCCACAGGTTTGAGCCTGACGGAATATCGATGCAAACTGTCGTATTTCAGGGCAAGAAAGAAGGCTTCATTCGATATCTTCTGATGCCTGTGTTCCTTCAGCAGCTTCTATTTCAGCTCAACATAAGTGGAGCTCCATGGAACTTTCGTGATTCGACGAGATAAACAACTTCAAAGCAGCAGCACATGCTTCAGAAGTAATTTAATAACAATAATGCTTACTCACGAAGATTCAATGATCAAGATAGTGAAAATGTTCTGGATCAGATGAGAAATAAGTGGCACTGGTTAGTCGTCCATATTACGTAAAACCAAGCACCTCATGTCAAACAACAAATGGAACCCGTTGCGCTACACCTAATCCTTTTAGCGGTCGTCCTCTCGCTTATTCTAGCATATTCCTTCCGCTGCTCGAGTTAGCGATCCTGATATCTTTCGGTCGTGAGATAAATCATCGGTCAGTCCTCAAATTCTATATCGTCCTTTAGGACATCACGCCATCATTTTTTTCATGGTAGTATCGCTGATTGAACCACATTTTCAGCGCATACCTCTGAATCAACAGAGCCTGCTTTCGATAAGCCGTTACGAAACTCGTGCCACGCCTATGCCTCCTGTGAAACTATTCCGGATGTGATCCTTCCCGCTGACACCATATTTTCATCTGAGCATTCGCATTTCAACCGAGTTCAGCAGCAGTTCATACCTCTTCAGAATAGTGAAACATTCTGTATCGTACAGTCTTGCTATCGCTCTGTGCACTTTATCCTTTCTCGCCATCCTCCTCTTCTACCAAGTTGAAATTTTCGTCTAACCACTAAAAACAGGTCTGCTGAAATTCAGTTGTGAATAAAACGTTGCAGCCTAAAGGCACATCGACGAAGCAATCGATCTACAAGTGAAATACGCTAGTCTGCCTCTTTGGAGCAGCTGACGGTAAAATCTCGAATGGCTGGGATTCTTCCGTGGACCGGATAGCAACTTTTCTCACACCGTCTGAGTGCAAGTTTGAACAAAGTTATTACGGCACATTTTCTGATACTGACATTACATGTGAACTAAAACAAGTCGTTTCCTATCCATTTCTAGGAGTTACACAATGAAATCCGTCTACTTTTTATCAGCTTGGCCAACAAGTTGTCACCACTGTTCAAGTCTGTCGAAAAAATTCCATAACTATTTCAGGAATCACTACCGAACCCGGCTGAATTCCATCCGCCCTTGTTCCAAACCGGGATGTTGTTCTAAGCAAATCTGGTCCAAAAGTAGAGGTACTCTAACGACTTGATGTAACTGCCTGGTGATTCGACACTTTCAATGTTATTAACAGGTCTTTGAAGTTACAGAATCTACATTCCAAGACATTTCAATCTATTTCAGCCTGAAACGATATGCCTTACTTTAGTATGTTATCCAAACCCTGCAAGATTGACGCTGTTGAAGGGTTCAGAGAAAGAAAACCCTGCCCAATTTCAAACGTCAATGTGGTCATAATTCTGCAACTAGGATGACGTTTATTATTACGGGAACTGACCGGCTTCGAAGTACACTCTTCGCATGCCTCACGCAATTGTACATAAATGTTTTTAATGACCTATTAGTTCAACTGGAGTAAGGAATTTTCTCTATTAAGTTCAAAAGGAAACATCACACAGTAAGGCAGCAAGTGCGATGTATAACTTTGACCAGTGTTACTGGTCATTTTCTTCACCTCGAAAGCAATAAGCAATCTTGATTTGGGCATTAAAACTTGCCCGCTGAATGGCAATTCACGTCTAAATGACTGAATGAAATGGACCAAAGAAAATTCAAAACACGACAGTATCATACTAACAATGACAATAATAGACCATTCTTCACATGGGACGTAATTTTATATTAGACAGGTAAGAACTAAGGTACCGTTTGCCGCTATTTTGTTTGTTGAGATCATCAACTTAACATGTTGCCATAAACAAAACGTCTCTGGTTTGGGATGTCCGCTGTATCCTCAGCTTGACAATACCTTTGCCACAAGACGCCTGTTACTCGTAAATATGGTAGAAAAAACTCTCTTAAAGCAGATATGCCTCTAGCTTGTTCCTCTACGTTGCATGCTGACCCCCTGGCTGACGCTTGCAATGTTTCGGTTCCCACGCGAAAAGCTCATAGGCTGGAGCAAATGGTTTAGGTGCATCCAGTTTGACTAACAGAGCCAATCTCATTTTCTTAATCTCCAAGTATACTCAGGTCACCTGTGACCTGAAGAGAATAGTTCTGCCATTTTACCCTCACCACATGTTGAAGCCGAAGCTGCTGGATGTAATTCGACCGTCATTTTTTGCTCATTCGTTAGAAAAACTGCTGCCATGTCGCACAATACCGACCTGGAAGAAGCAAGGTACCGACACATTTTTGGACACTCCTTCCTCAGCCTAAATAGTGAGCAGGTTACCAAAAGCATTCGAAATTAGGACGATCCTTCAATGAACTTTCATTGGATAGTGCCGTCACCAAAGATAATAGACTCGAAATACATAAACAGCATAACCTCCAGAAGCACCAGACCTCCCTGTTCCACTTGCAGATCAATCGTGTCTCATGGGTTCTTTATCACTTTAGACTTCTAGGCGTTAAGGAAGATGCTAGATTTCGCAGGTGCGTTGCATACGGAAGCCGTCATGTGGCAAAAGCCGTTCCCCGTGTTATGTACCAAGACAATATCATCTGCACACTCCAGATCAGCGAGATATCTAACCTTTTGTCTTGAATTGTGCTTTCCTTATGAATGAGACCTTAATCTTTGTCAGGGTCATCACTTTTTTTGAGAAAAATGTCGAAAACAATGTTTAATAACGAATTTGAAAGCATATCTCCTTGGAGAACTCCACAGTAAATAGGGAACCATCCAGGCAGCTGTCCTTTAAGTCTTACACAAGACATGATTCCTGCATTCATCTCTCCCAAAATAGAAACGAGGTGCTAAGGTATCCCACAGCGTTTTTGAAGATTTTCCATGTCGTTGGACATCACAAAGAATTAAATGCAGCCTCCAGCAATAAAGTATAGCACATCCTTCAAATCACTGTTCTGCATAAAAACCAACGAAGTTGTCACGTAAATTCATAAACCGAATTGATACCTGTACAAAGCAACAACAGAAGATAGTACGGAACTTCAAAAGATTTTCGAGGAAATGAAGGCCTGTACAACAAACAATGAATGGAAAGCGAATTAAAATTCAACTGATACCTTACCCCTCGACACCCATAATATGACATTCATAAATAACTTTTCTGTAAAGAAGCAAACATCCTTTACAAACGTCGATTCTAATTCGGTACCAACATAAACGATCATTTTACTAGAATTTGTGTTCCTGAACAACCACAAGTTACATGGGAAAATCTATCGGTACAAAATGTAAAATGTACCTTTTTGGGTAACAATATGAAAACAGTCGAATGATGAGGTAAAATACTGATCTAATGTGCTTGCCAATAAAACTAGAGAAATCCGGAAATAACTAGAGAAAATGTTAACAAGATAAAATGTCTGCTGGTACCTGCATCACTATCATAGGTTGCACATTCGTCCGCGACTTCGGTAACCTCACACGGCAAAAACAACCGCAAAAAGTAAGGCTTCGAAGTGAACAAAAACTCCTTGTCGTTAAAAAATATTTCGGTATCCGATACCTGAAAAAGAGCGGCATAATTTGGCACAAAATGGGTAGCTGCAATACAGAAAAATCTCATAAAAGTAAAACAAACGCTGAATGAAATTTTTTGAGAAATTTTGAGAAACAATTTAAAGATGACCTGTAAATTTAGAAACAACGTTTGGTGCAATTTTTCCGGATCAAAGTCAATAAAGAAAAATCAGGTGGCAAACAACATAACTGCCATGAAGATTAAATAAACAAAGTGTAAACGTCTGTTTATCTAGAGGAAAGGAAAAAATGTATAGCCTATTATCATCATGTGCGTGTAATAATAATCGACGACGGACTATTGCGTCAATCAGAGCACTGTCTCAGTCCACTGCGTTGATGAATCAAGGGCTGAAACCCTGCTGCAGTAGTTTGAATTCGTATTTCTTCTGACTGGTCACACTTTTATATTCTGTCTCTTTGGAGCAACGGAGACATGATGGCAGTAAAGCATCTACGACATTGCAATGTAAACAGAATGCCTGCTTCTGAATCAGAGGTCGCCACTGGCTTCCACGGAGAAAAACTAATTTGCCTATCAACTGAACTGTCACAGTGTCTTCCAGCAACTAAATGATTATGACTACGACTCAGAATTTTATAATAATTCACTGGAGCCTCGCTTGGCATCCGCTTTGGGCCTTCATGGCAAGTGTATCAGTTTAAGGGGAAGATATGCAACCGTACTCCGCGCTACTGAACAAGCCCTCACTTTAAACATTGCCTGCTTCCAGCGACAAGGACGAGAGGCCGGTTTGTAGGGGCAGCGTGTACACCCTTGTAATGATTGTCATTTGTGACATCTCTTCATGATGGTGTTTTTATTGCAGAAATGATGCCCATTTCACTAATCAGAAATAATTAAGTACAGGTGTTGACGGCATTATCTACAACTATATGACCATTATACCGTGTAGATCGAAGAATAGGATTCAAGCATGGGTAATGC